GGCCCTTTTTTCCATATCCTCAAACTTTCATGAATACCCCAAAGTCTCACCCTCATTCTTCTCCTGGAAACCACAGCCCACTGGGGCCAGAATAACGCTTGTCTTTTCTAAATTCCTTCAAGTAAACGATCTCAGGCCCGGTGTGGAGGCGCACACCTGTAATCCCCGCACTTGGGAGGCTGAGCAGGAGGATCACAGGAAGTTGAAGATCACCCTAGGCTACATAGTGAGTCTAAGGTCAGCCGGGGCTACCCAGTTAGACCCCGCCTCCAAAAAAAGAAAACGAACAAACAAAAAAAAAAAAACAGAAAAGGAGCTCACAGTTAGATCACCCTAAGGTAACGCCCTCCCTCTCTCTCCGTAAGACCTCAATAAAGAGAACGTTTCTTATTCGACTGCTTTGGTTTTTTTTCTAGGTCCCAACATGAAGGATGAAGGCAGAGCCCAGATGCAGACGCCCTGGGCAGGAGCCCGCCATGCCAACCACAGCCTTCGGCCGCGGTCCCGTCCCGGCCCTGCCCCTCCGCCGCGAGCTCTCACCTGCGGTCAGCAGCACGCCGCACCAGAGCAGTAGCCGCATCCCCGCCCCCAGGCGTACAGCGGAGCGCGCGGCCGTGCGCCCAGCGGCGCCGGTTCCTCAGGTCGGTTCAGCCCAGAAGCTGCTGAGACTCCCACCGCCGAAGAGGGACCCAGGAGCTTGTGCTGGCAGACAGGCTCCCTAAAGCCGCTTTCTAAACTTCAGATTAGATTACAAGTGATACGACTTTCCCTGTACCCTGGAAATTCCCCTGTCGCCTGCGCTCCTCCGTCCCTCTATCGCCGTGTCGCTGAGAGCTCCCTGGCCTCCGTGCAGCCTTTCAATGGGCGCCTCTTCTTTCTAGAACCTCAGAGCTTCCGCCTCCTTTTTTTCTCCGGGACAACCGCGAACCCATTGGTAGCCCCAGAGCGGGCGGGGCTGGTCGCTGGACTTACATTCCGTCGCTGGATTTATATTCTCATCATGGGGGTGAGAGTTATATACCTTTATTTAAAAAATAAAACTTGGAGCTACATTACTTCCTCGTCCCCCGGTGAGGACTGAATCCGGGACTTTCTCGGGCGCTACACGCGGCACATCGAGCTGCGCTGGTGCGGGCGGGCGAGCGCGGGATTTGAACAAGAACAGTGCCGCAGGCTCGGGACGGCGCCCTCCGCGGGAGGCGCGGGTGTCCTAAAGCGAGCTCCGGGAGAAGAAAGCAAAAGCTCGCTGGGGCTTCATTTTCGAAGGCAGGGCCTCACGATCCTTCTGACCGCCTGGGTTTGAAGCAGGAGGAGTCAGGAAAGTTCCCACGGGGCTAACTGGCTCCCGGCAGCCCAGCGACCACAGCGACCTCGCTTTTTGATCTTTCCACGTCGGCCCTTGCTGTCATTGTGAAGCGATATGCTCAAAGCCTGGGATTGTTCACCCACTAGTAAGGTTTAGACCGTGCGAGACAGGTTACTTTTGCCCTGCTGACGTGGTGTTGCCATGGTAACCCTGCTCCCTGGAAGAGAAACCGCAGGTTTTGACGTTTGGTGTGGGCGCTCCGCGGAGGAGCCAGGGGGGGCGGAGCTAGCGCCTGTGGGATTAAGACTGAGGCTCTAAATCAGAGTCCGCTCCCAGGCAGACAGATGCAGGAGCCCTGCAGGCCTCCTGCTGCTCCCCCTCGCACCCCGTGAGGCTGTCCTGAGGCTGCACCAGATCGGGGTACCTGTGGAGAGCTCTTCCTCCTGGAAACCGCGTGCGGGGAAATGGGGACTGCACTTAACTCAGGGTGGTGGAAATCTGGCGCCAATGAAGCTCCAGCGAGCTTTTGCCTTCTCCACGAGCTCGCTTTAGGACACCTGCGCCTTCCTCCGCAGGGCGCCATCCCGAGCGCGCGGAAGTGGCCTTGTCCATTGGTAGACCAGCAGCTTCGGGTAGGGGTTTCCTAAGTAGCAGAGCAGCTCCCTCGCTGCGATCTATTGAAAGTCAGCCATGAGTTCGATCCCCGGTACCGCAAAAAAAAAAAAAAAGAAAAGAAAAGAAAGTCATCCCTGAACACAATAATTATTTCTTTTTTAAAGAGAGTGTGTTTTTTATTAAAGTAAAAGAATTACTCTCTGGTGACTAAAAGGGACAGCGTAGAAAATACAGAGGCCAGTACTGCCAAGTTATCATCACGGAGTGTGACGCCGTGTACACACTGCACGGGCCAGCAGCGCAGTAGGCTAGCTCCCATCAGCACGAGCACGATCACACGAGCAGCAAGCTCGTCCCGGCTGTGGTTTGTCCGGGCTGCTGGGATGACTTCGCATCTCAGTGGCCTCTGCCTCTGCTCTAGTTCTGCCGCTTCAAATTCTGCGCTTCCTCCACCTCGCCCTTTCTCACCTTTCTAACACTTTCCCGGGCTCGGGCTCCCTCCTCCCCGCCCGGCCTCAGCCTCAACGGGCCTGGGAGCGCGAGGAGCCCGCAAGGGTCCGTGAGTCCGCGCCGGGTGCCCGCTGCCGCCCGGGACTTTTTCCCGCCCCGAGGGCCGCTACCGCTTGCGCCTTCCTCCGGGGGCGCGGCCAGGGCGGGCAGCGGAGCTCGCGGACGCGCCCACGGAGCGGGTGCTGGCATAGCGCGCCCCCGGCCAAGGAAGCCCAGCCCGGGAAGAAAAACGCGGGCCCGCGGGGCGTGCCATAGCGACCCGCCTGGACACCCTCCCGCGCCGCGCTACTGCCCCCAGGCTCCGACCGTCTGCGCCTTTGAGACCCCTTCTCCGGCCCCTGCTCCCCGCCGCGCCTCCGCCTTAGAAGGGGGCGGGGCCCGCAGACAGTCCGGCGCTGGACGTGTCGCTTGCAGCGCTGCCGCAGTTTTATTTTGCCTTCAACCGGCTCCTCGTCTGCCAGGGTTGCTGACTACCGTGCAACCCCAAGACGCCCGACCTCCCCGCTGACGCCCCGCTCCCGAGCGAGCTGCTCGGCGTACCCCGACCCCACCCAGGGCCGCCTTCTTAAGACGCCCTCGGCTCGCAGAGGCCTCTGCCCGGCCGGGGGCTCCAGCTGCCCAGGCCTTTAGAGTCCCAGTGGTTAAATATGATATGAACTCCTGTTAAAACTGCAGAATCACGGCTTCCTGCTTTCTATAGGACGGGAGTGTTTGTGCTCTGCCATGCTTGTTTGTCCGGCTGCCTGCCTTGGGGCCAGCCAGCTGCGGACTGCAACCTGTGCGAACTGTGAGCTAAAATTAACTTTTCCTGCTTGAACTTGTGGGTGTCAGAAATTTTGTTCCACCCACAAGGATGGGGTTCGGCAAAGGTTGGGCAGGTGGGAGAGGTTCCATTGGGAGGGCGCCCCACCTGCTAAGTGCTCCAGGCAAAAACATTCTTTAGCCAGTGGCAGGTGCTTTTTCTGTATCCTCCAAGTTTTATGAACCCCCAAACTCTTACCCTGAACTCAGGCCAGAATAATCACTTCTATGTTCCCAGTGTAGGTAAAGTCTTTTTCAACCCAGTGTCGCTCGCGTGCCCCGCGCTGGAGGGTGGTTTATCTCAAAACAAACAAATACCGAAAAAGAAAACCAAGTTGTAAACGTCTAAGGTTGCATTTTACCCTTAGATAACAAGGTTCCTCACAGTCAAGGAGCTTAAGACCAGATGTGGTGGTGCAGTTCTGTAATCCCAGTACTGGACATCTGAGGCCCGCCTGGGATACAAAGAGAGTTCAAGGCCAGCATGAACTGCATAGTGAAAAAAGAAAAGCCCCCCACCCCATGTAGTGAACTTGGATACTACCTATAAGAGATTCAGAAAATGCTATAAATTCAGTGTGTTCAAGTCCAGCCTGAGCTACATAGCAAGACCCTGTCTCAAAAACAAAAATGAAGCCGGGTGTGGTGGCGTACGCCTGTAATCCCAGCACTTAGGAGGCTGAGGCAGGAGGATCATTGCGAGTTCGAAACCAGCCTGGACTACAAAGTGAGCTCACAGCCGGCCTGAACTGCACAGCGAGACTCTGTCTCAAAAAGACAAAAAAAAAAAAAAAAAGAAAGAAAAGAAAAGAAAATGCTGTAAAATGGAGCTATTCAATCTAGGTTATATGTAGAAAATCTATGTGCCTATTAATAAATCACAACCCCCCCTTCCATCAGTTCAGCTTTTCTCTTCTTTCTGTGCATGTAAAAACTGATGTGTCTTCAGTGACTTGTAAATCATGGTTGCTAAGTGATGAGTGTAAGTTCAACCTGTGAGCTTCTGAGACAGAAATTGTACTTTTTTTTTGGTTTTTTTTTTGAGACAGTGTCTTGCTACATAGCTCAGGCTGGCCTTGAACTCACTATGCATTCTAGGCTTGTCTCGAACTCAAGGCGATCTTCCTGCCTCAACCTCCTGAGTGCTGGGATTACAGGAGGAATTACAAGTGTGGGCCACCATGCCCAGTGTGAGAGACAGAAATTCTAGAGCGGACTTTAAACAAACATATCCTTGTCTTGCCGCTAGAGGGGTTGCCTACATGATTAGATAGATAGCACAGATGTCTTAAAAACTTCTTTGCCTTAGAGCCCAGGGCAGACTTCCTCCAAGCCATTCGTTTGCTTCTATCTCTAGAGATGATCTCTTTTACAGGGTAAAAAGTAATCAAACTATTTCTAACCGACTCTTTGATATTTTCTCATTCTCTCTCAAAAATTTCACACCTCCAGACTTAGTGGCGGACGCCAATAATCCCAGCACTCAGGTGGCTGAGGCAGGAGGATCCTTAGGAGATCTAGGCCAGCCTGGGCTACAAAGTGAGCTCAAGGCCAGCCTGAACTGCATAGCGAGACCCTGCCTCAAAAAGACCAAAAAAAAAATCTTACACTGAAGGTTCCCAGGGACCCCCGACAGCTCCTTCCCTGACCTTCTTGGTGTGACCACCACAGACTGAAGCTGCCCCAAGGCCTTGGAGACCCCCTGGACCATCTCAAACATAGAGCATCGGGTAACTCTTACAATGCAGGGTCAGCCCACCCGCTTCCTGAGTGTTATGGGGACTGCCATCCACCATTCCTTTTTTCAAAGGACCAGTCTTTCTGGCGCTGACTGCTAGCTCTTTTTTTTTTTTTTTTTTTTTTTTGATACCTGGAATTGAACTCAGGACCTTGCACTTGCCAGGTGGGTGCTGTGCCCTGAGCTGTATCTCCAGCCCTCTGACTGCTATTGTGATCATTGCCACAAAGTTTTCAGACCCTTAACCTCCTCCTCCCCAGTTTGATGCCAACTGGGTGGACAGGTTTTCCCACATTCCTTTTTAGTCATCCCTACCTGCCCCATCCCCCTTTGGCTGAGACATTTTAACCAAGTTGTCAGCTCCTGTGACCATCCCCTGCTCAAAGCCACCCTGTCCGCCACCATGGTTCCCATCCTTTCATCTCAACCCCACAACTGGGGCACTTCTACCCCATCCCTGGCTTTAATCCAAAAACCACTTCATATCGCTCTCAAGCCTAATCATTCTACCCCGCCCAACAACAGTACCCCATCCCTGGACTTAGCCTTATGGAGCTTACAACCTATCATTTCTTGCCTGTTAGGACACCACCTCTTAATTGCTGTCAGCTCTGCTTACAACCCCCCCATTCTCCCGGTACAAAAGACAGATGGATCTTCAGGGTGGTACAAGATCTCCATGCTAGCCAGGCATGGTGGTGCATGCCTATAATCCCAGTATTTGGGAGGCTGAGACAGGAGGATTGTTATGAGTTCGAGACCAGCCTAGGCTACAAAGTGAGCTCAAGTTCAGCCTGAACTCCATAGCGAGACCTTCTCTCAAAAAGACAAAAAAAAAAAATCTCCAAGCTCGACCAGGTACGGTGGCCCACGCTTGTAATCCCAGCAGTTGGGAGGCTGAGACAGGAGGACTGCTTTGACTTCAAGGACAGCATACCAAAACACTGTCTCAAAAAGACCAAAAACAGGGGCTGGGGATTTAGCTCAGCAGCAAAGCGCCTGCCTGGCAAGCGCAAGGTCGTGAGTTCAGTTCCTGGTACCAGAGAAAAACCAAAAAAAAAAAAAAAAGACCAAAAACATAAAACAAAACAAAAAAAAACTCCACACTATCAGATTGTCCTTCTCACACACCCCGTGGTGCCTAACCCCTGTGCACTTTTGTCTTCTGTCCCTCTGTCTCCTCACAGCCCACCTTCATCTCTACCTCAACACACCCCGACACACATCAGGCCCAACAGCTGACCTGGACTGTTCTGCCACAGGGTTCCCGGCACAGCCCCGCTACTTCGGTCAGGACCTTGTCCATAATTTGCTCTCCTTTCCTCTTTCTTCCCCTCATATGTAGATGACCTTCTCCAAAAGAACATCACACCCAGTGGATGAGGCCATTAGCAGCAAGCAGGAAACCACAGAAAAGAACAAAGCCATGTCCATCTGCACTGTCCAAGAAATGAGAGGACACTCACCTGTCCCAGTTTGCAGAAGCACAAACACTATCCCCGCCCCGCAAACTCCTCAAGGCAGCAAACCCCTCCCCTCTCCTTTAAATCCTTTGTTCTACCCTCAATTCCTGCTGACTCCACTCTCTGAACTCAGTCCCCACAGAGTGAATAAACACCGTGGTTGCCGACTCAGAGCCCTCCCTGCTGGGCTCTCTCCTCTCTACACCTTTAACAATCAGCAAGTAAATCATGAAGTTCTTTCTTGGAAACTCTTACCTTTCATCTATGTTAAATGAAGCCTTTGACTGTGGCTGCTCATGGAAATAACTGAAGAAAAAACCCAGAAAGTTCTTTTTTAGGGAACTATTTGGAAACAAAACCCCATAAAACAACAAATAACCTAACTCTACTTACTATGCAAAACCTTATCACTGTTAAGTTCCTAAAATAAGCCTCAACCCACAAGCCCACTGAAGCTGGAGATGGATCGTATGTGTGGGGCTAAAGCAAAGCCAGCCCTGAGAACACAGAGCACACAAGATGAACCCCGTGCACGAGCTGTTCCAGCTCTGAGAACTTGACGGGCCTGAGGTGATCCAGGCAAGTAAGTTGCTAAGCAGAGGAGTTTCAATAGATGAGTATAAAAATAAATGTGCTGTAGTCACGGTGCAGTTCCTTTTCTCCCATCAGGACAGTGGGCTCCTCCTGACCTCAGCTTTCTGCACTGTGACTCTTGTCCCCATTTCTTCATCCTCTACAATCTGTGTCATAAGAAATTCAAGAGTTGCACTGCACACAGCAACACACAATAGAAAATGCTGTGCTGAGACTGGCCAGCTCCCCAGAAGGGATACCAAAGCCACATGCCCCTGGGAGCACTAGTAAAGAAGTAGCACTCTGAAAGGTGAATCAGGGCACTGGTATGAATCATCATACCAGTCAGGGATGGGGTACTGTTGTTGGGCAGGGTAGGAGTGGTGAGGTTTGGGAGGAATATTAAGTGGTTTTTGGATTGCAGCCAGGGAAGGGGTAGAAGTGTCCCAGACTGCGGGGTTGAGATGAGGGGAACCATGGTGGTGGACAGGGTGGCTATAAATGTTGGTTGCATCCAGGGCAAACCAAGTGATAAATTCATAAACTATAGCAGAGAGTCTTTTCTCTTTTTTTGCAAAAAATACTTTTTAATTGCTCTGGAACAGTTACTATGGTGTTTCTTATTTTTCCCTTTTATAAAAGGTCCATTTTATTGCAGTTTTTGTGCACCTTTCGCTATGCATGCTGTTCTCTTAGGGAAAGAAATGTTGCCTTTTGAGTTTATATGCAGACTAATACCCTAACCTAAGAAGGGGATGATACCTAGATATCATGGTCTTTAAGCTAATATGCAAAAACGGATTGCATTTCTGGTAAGTTTTTTTCCTGGGATGGGAGGACTAAATGTTTTCTGTCTCTGAAGAAAAATGAGCACATAGATTTAGGTAGCCAATAAAACTGATCTGATCTAAAACTAAAAAGTGGCAACTAAATGTTTCCTTTTTTTTCTCTTCCTCAGTTAAAAAAACCTAAAAACTGAACAACCTTAAATTGTAGCAGATGGATTTCCGGCTTCCTTAGCAAATGTTGTGGCCATGTGATGCAGTTCTGGCCAATGGGATGCAAATGCAGGATTCTGAAAAGTTCTCTAAGGCAGCTGATGCACCTGGGGAAAGTTCTTGCCAATGTCCCCTTGCTTTCAGGAGCTATGTTGACACCTAGAGTGAGGTAACTTGAAGATAAAAATCAGGGACTGAGGACACCAGAATGGCAAGATGGGAACTCCATACCACCTACTTTTAGGTCTATTTATGTAAGGGGAAGATTCCTCTGTTCTCTTGGTTTTGCTGTTAAATATAGCAGAACCTAATTTTAAAAGATAAAGTATAGAGAACATTATGAATGAAAAATGACCCGAAATGGTACAAAAGCTTTTCAGTTAAAGAATTTCTAAAGGATAGAGGTGGCCAAGGAAAGCTAAAGTTATCAGGAAACCCCGGGGAATACTATGGGTTTTGTAGAGTAACTATATCGAGGAAACATTGGTTCAAAGGCCATAAGGAACATCTGTGGTGGACTGACAACTGGTGGTCAACTTGTAACATCCAGGTGAACTGAATCAGCATGGTGCTGCGTGTGGAAGGCCCACCTGAGGATTGTTGCCAATAACATAAAAGAGGACTGGAGGGGGAGAGGGTGCACTGTTGATTCTCCTGGAGAAGCTTGTCACAGTGGTTTTCCTGATGTGAACTTGGCTGTTTTCATTCTTGGAGGAGCTCGGTTCCTCAATGTCACTGACAATGGCTGCAGTTCTTTTCAGGGGAGCTCTGGTCCTTACCTTGAGCATTGCTTCCTGGCTCCAGTTAAGATCTTTCAGCCTGCTGGCACAGAAAATTCATCCCATGGGCACAGACATTCTAGTTTCCACTACTGACCTTTCAGCCTTCCCAGCATAGATCCTTGATACAGACTTGCATGAGATGTTGTCGTGGACTCTAGGCCTGCAGTTGGACTCATGGAGGATATTGCCATGGGCTTTAGGTCTTCAGCTGGACTCGTGAAGATTATTCCTGTGGGATCCAGACCCTCAGCTGGATTCTTTGGGTCTCTAGTGTGTGGACAGGTCTCCCGCACTGTTTTGCATTTGATTCCTTGGTTGAATATTATAAAATAATCCTATAAATTCTGTGTCCTGTATTGAATCTTTTCCTTCGTGAGCCCTGACTACAACAGTATCCATAAAGGAATCGCTATCTTTATAAGCAGGAGCAATTTATTGAAAAAGCTACAAGTAGAGATTTCTGACTTAGTTGCTAGTTTCGTTTCTTGTAATGTAAACCACTCCATCTCTACAGTAGAACAAAGAGTAAAGGATGAAGTATGAGTGCTGCTTTGTTTCCATCCCGGCTGTGGTAGATTTCAATCCCTGTGTATATGTGTCCAAAAAAAGTATTCTCATTTTAAAGATATTTTCCTTTATTGCAAATATGCTTTAAAATATTTATTGAGCAGAAAGGAAGAAGAGGAGTTACAAGATGAAAGAGATGTTGAATGAACAGTTCTCTTCCAAGTGCTGGTGAACTTCAGAACTTTAAGCGTCTGTTCAAAAGAAATATACTCTGTTAAAAAGATATCTATTTTAAACATATCTTCCATTATTCTGAATGCTCATTTACTTGCAAATATATCAAAATTTTTGCTGGACTCGAACTAAGGACCTCACACTTGCAGGCAGGCACTGTACCACTGAGCTAAACTTCTGGCCCCAAGATTATTTGAAAATATTGTAGCTAGTCATAGGTTACAATTTAAAAACTGGTAAAAAAAAAAAAAAAAAAAAAAATTGGTAAGATCAATATGACTGATTCAACTTATTAATCATAGTAAAATAAATCATTTCACCATAAATATGCCTATTGCATTATATAACTTTTTTTTTAGACACTTTGTAGCCCTGGCTGGCCTTGAACTCACAGCAATGCTCCTGCCTCAGCCTCCTGAGTGCTGGGATTACTTACATTTTAAAAAGGCTGATGCATAAATTTTTGAAGATTTTTCATTGTCCTATACTAGAAATTTCTTTATTTCTAAAGCCATACAGAAAAAAAATCTAATAATCTAAAATTATATTTGAAATAAATGTGGATACCAATTTACAGTGGTTTATTACCATAAACAAACAGAAAGTAAAATTACATACATGGCTTGAGCTTTAGTTCTCCAGGTGAACCTGACGGAGCAATTCCTTGTTGTAACTTTTTTTGTTCCATCTGCTGTACAGCCTGTGAATGCAGAAAGAAAATCCTACAAGTAAGTATTATTTGATTTTCTATCATATGTGTGGGCTTTGACACAGCACAATAAACTGACTAAAAGTTGTTGTTAGACAGAAGATATTAAACTCTAAAATTTAAGTTAATATTCTAAACAGCAGTTTAAAAATGCTAAAATTTAAAATATGATAATAGTATATTGAAATATTACAGAAACAGGCTTTGAGTGAAGCAGCTAATGTCTGGGCTTTTTTCTTTGTCCTGTTTTTCAGTGGTGGGAATGGAACTCAGGGCGTTGCATGTGCTGAGCACACACTCTACTACTGAGCTACATCACTGGTCCCTCATATTCTTTTTCTTTTCTTTAGAGACAGTAGCATGCTATTCAGCATAAACTGTTCTCAAATTCCTTGACTTGAGCAATCCTTACTCAGCCTCCCAAGTGGCTAAAACTAGTTGTCTGCCAGTGTGTTCATCCTTTTAAACCAGAACTCAGAGTGAAGCCTCTCCAGAAAAATCTTGATCTTTCTTTTTTTTTCCAGTACTGGGGATTGAACTCACGACCTTGTGCTTGCTGGGCAGGTGCTGTGCCGCTGAGCTAAATCCCCAGCCCAATCCAGAAAAATCTTAACAGCTCTAGGTCAGAAGGCTGAGGCAGGAGGATCACTGTGAGTTAAAGTTCTGTTTTGTTTTGTTTGTTTTGTTTTGTTTTGTTTTGTTTTGTTTTTGAGACAGGGTCTTATTATGCAGTTCAGGCTGGCCTTGAACTCACTTATGTAGCTCAGGCTGTCCTGGAACTCAGAACGATGCTCCTGACTCAGCCTCCCCAGTGCTGGCATTACAGGTGTGCGCCACCACACCTGGCTTACCCTGTCTCAAAAAAAAAAACAAACAAAAAAAAACAGCTCTAGACAAGTAGCTCCTGGGGCTACTTCTTCCTCAGGAATATGGTCCTGTGCTTCTCACTCATGAGAGATATTTCAAGCAGTTCTCTGGGGGCAAAACTGACAAACGGGGGCTGTAAACAAGCTTTACAACATCCTGACAGCCTGAGATGCACAGGATGTTCCCTTCTTAGGGCTGAGGTAAGAGAGGGTGCGAGAATAGATTTTAAAAACCCTCTGTTTCATCTCATTTTCTTGGAAACTCTGCAAAACTTCACCATTCATTTTACTATCAGAGTCCTTTTATAAATTACCACCTGATGATATTCCTGCTTCTGAGCCTCCAGCTGGTCATGCTGACGCTGTAGCTCTTCTTTCTGTTTCTGAAGCTCATCTGCCTTCTTCTTAAGCTCGTTTTCTTGTAAAGCAATAATATTTTCATATTCTTTTAGTTCTTCCTCTGTGAAGAACTGTTGCTGATCCAATGTCTAAAAGAAAATGAAATGAAATAATAACTGTAGAAGTAAGAGTAATAAGGCTTGATGTAGCTTTTAAAGTCTATAGTTAGGAAAATATAAAAGAATATCTATGATATTCCTTTTGGGTAAAAAAGAGGAGTGAGAAATACATACTTATGTATTCATTTGAGCAAAAGGAAAAACAGGTAGAAAACTCAGAGACTAATGAGACTGCATCATAAAGGCCAATGGTAAGAACTGAGCAGAAAGGACAAAAAAACATAGTTCAGGAAGGGACATAAACTTCTTTCAGTACAGATTCAATTTTTGGAAAACATGTAAATCTTTTACACACTTAACAGATAAAGAAAGAAAGAGAGAGAGGGATGGGAGGGAAGGAGGGAGGAAGGAAGGAAGGAAGGAAGGAAGGAAGGAAGGAAGGAAGGAAGGAAGGAAGGAAGGCAGGCAGGCAAAACTGACAAGGACAGGAAAACCCCAACTTGAATATAAACTCAGAAGCAAACAAACAGTATTTTTATTTTAATTAATGAGATCACCCAGAGTAGGGGAGGGGTAAAAACACTGCCCAAAAACTATTGATCACAGTATTTGCAGAATATGTCCTCTGGTAAGAAATAAAATTAAAAATCTAAAGAAATACTGAGCTAAGGCCGGGGATATAGCTCAGTGGCACAGTGACTGCCTGGCGAATGCAAGGTGCTGAGTTTAATTCCTAGTACAAAAGAGGAAAAAAAAAAAATTGAGCTCAAACATTTTAGATGCATGGATCAGGAATTCTGAAATCTTTTACATTCTAGGACTGAGAAAATAAGTGAAACGTTTTTGTGTTTTCCATACTATGGGCGTTAGATTTCACATGAAATATGGAAAGAACAAAAGAGAAATGCAGTGTTGAAATCGGAGGTGTTGGAATGAATTCAGAGGTGTCAGTGTTGATTGGCACAGAAACAATAAGATGAACCCAAAAAATCTTCTTATAGCAAAGCAAGGAAGACCTCAAAGAATGACTAGGGCATATGAAAATTTCCATAAAAGCCAGCTTGGAGAAACTCTCACTGGCCAAATCTGGGGTAATTTGGCCGTGGAAATAAATAATAACAGTAAATATTAGAGCTTGTTGAATAAAATAAAAGGCCATGAGTCTACACTGATATAGAGAGAAGTACTGGGGAAGAGATAGCTCCTTCCTTATAGCAGAAAGACACTTTACAAATATAGAAGGAATGACTAGAAGATCACCGTTTATCATCCATCACGTACTAACATGAGGCAACGTGATTCTGATTCTGAAAGTAATGGATAATGAGATATTTACACACAGTCTCTAAGGATACCCCTACCAGATAGTTCTTTTCTGGTAAGAGATTTTTGGTGGAAATATAATTTAGTTCAATTATTTTCAAAAATATATTGAAATTTTGTTTTATTTTTTTCTCTTAAAAAAAATATATAAACAGTCTTCAAAGCATCTCCCCTATTTTCTGGACAATTAAATAATCTAAATTTAACAGCAATCTTTTTAATTTTTTCTGTGGAAAAATGTCAGTGTTCTCTCTAATCTATTTTGGATGGTAACTCCTACTTATTCTTTTAAAGCTCTATATGCATTCATTTATACATAGTTGGCTATGGTATAATCTGGTATACTTTTTTGGAACAATTTCACAAGATATAATGAGAAACTAAAAAAAGTTCATAAACCTTGAGAATAAATATCAAGAAAATCATCAAAGAATGTCCATATAGGGGCTGGGGATTTAGCTCAGCAGCACAGTGCCTTCCTGGCAAGCACAAGGTTGTGAGTTCCATTCCTGGTACAGCAAAAAAAAAAAAAATAAATAAAAAAATAAAAGAATGTCCATAAATGTATGAATAATACATGATAATAAGTATAGTGAATAGTGTTATTTGTTATAGTAATGCAATTTACCCTAAATTTCTAAAGCTGGAAAATGGTTATATAAATGATGCTATAACCATATAGCTGGTATTAGTCATATTTTAAATCATGTTTAGAAAGAATGCTATTAGATAATGTTCATGAAATATTATTGTTGAACAGTTTCATTTGTATAGCTTAAGAATTTAATATATGAATATATGTGTATCTATAAATTTAAGGTTGGCCAGGGAATCAGCTCAGTGGCACTACCTGCCTGGCAAGTGCAAGGTCCTGAGTTTGATCTCAGTACCAAAAAAATAAAATAAAATAAGCATAGATGGGTGTGATGGCGCATGCCTGTAATCCCAGCACTTGGGAGGCTGAAGCAGGGGGATTGCTGCAAGTTGGAGCCATCCTAAGCTACATAGCAAAACCTTGTCTCAAAAAAAGATATGATATATTTAACACTATATGGTATACATATGTATATGTATAAGCTGATAGTATTCCCAAAATAATGCATAATTTAAGTGTCTATGTCTAAGTGGTAGAAACAAAGGACTTCTAATTTATTCTTTTAATGCATTTATATTTAAAATTTTTTGAAACTTTTTTTTTTTTTTTTTGGTACCGGGAATTGAACTCAGGACCTTGTACTTGCCAGGCAGGCGCTTATGCCACTGAGCAATATTCCCAGCCCCTATATTTAAAATTTTGAGTAACACATTTTTTTTGGTACTGGGAATCAAACTCAAGGACCTCACACTTCCCACGTAGGCGCTGTGCTGCTGAGCTATATCCCCAGCCCAACACATTATTTTATAGTTAGAAAAAACTATAATTAAGATTTCTAATTATATACAGCATGATTACAAATGAACAAATCACCTACTGCAATCTTTCCAAGAACTAAAAACAGTAAAATGATACATACAAACATAATGGGAAATAAAAGTTAAAAGAATAAACTGATATAAAAGTTCTTTACTACATATACCATTTAAAGTAGGTTTTATTACCTCCCAGCTATCTGGCTCCAAGAATTCCTTTTTTTCTGTAGCTTTCAAAAATTCCTCCAGAGTCACCAATCGGTCTTTGTTTGTATCAACCTAATTAAAGGAAAATGTATGCATAATATAAAATAACAGCTTTCACAGATTACTCATTAACATGTCTTCTAATAGATGCTACTATATATATAGCAATTATGACTAGCCTAACATCCACAGAAACTAGAGGGAAAAAAATTGAAACAAAACTCTCCACATTATACTAAGTCAGAAAATAGGTATCTTTCTGTGTAATTCCCATTTGATAGTCCAAAGATCAATACATTTGAATTGGCTAACCTGACTGTTTAGGTTGGTACTGTTTTGCTCTCTCATCAGACTATGTAGAATATCTACAATCCTTTTTGTTGTTGTTGTTGTTGTTCTGAGGTAGGGTCTCGCTAGGTATTCAAACTGGCCTTGAATTCATGATGATCCTCCTGCCTTAGCCTCCAAAGTGCGGGGATTACAGGTATACACCACCATGCCCAGCCTCTGTGACCCTTGCAACCAACTGCTCGAGCAAAGCTATCACTAACTCAGTTACAAAGGTGAACTCTAAGGGCCAAAGAAATTCATTGGAAACCTGAGGTGCCACCACTGGACAGAGATTCCAATTCAGCATTAACAGCTCAAACAGTCTGGTGAAAATCACCAAAGTGAAACGGTGAGCTTCAGTTAACCTTATGGTAAGATTTACTGCAAGGACTTGAAGAGTCCATGAAATAAAAATATCTTAAGCTTTTAAAACATACCTCATTCATCACATGTTCCCTCATTCTAAGCCTTTCTTCCTCCATTTCCACCATGTCATCCTCTTCGTTGTGGGCATTGTACACTTTCTCCAACTAACAAGGAAATTTAAAAATCAACATGAAAGAAGAGAAAGTAATGGAAGGAAAGATATGCTGTGGTTTATATCTATACATATGTCCCCCACCAAGACCTTCAGGTGCTCATGGTGGGGCTTGGAAGGTGACTGGATTATGGGGGTTTACAGCTGACTTGCTGTTCAGAGGTGAGGTCTGTTCAGAAGAGCAGGTCACTGGGGGAGACCTAGAGGGGCTTATTGCCCTTCCCTGCTGTTCCCTCCACTCAGCTTCCTGGTCCCCGTGACGATCCCCATTCCATTATCCCCCTTTGCCAGGCTATCCTACTTCGGAGCCAGGGGATTAGGGACTGAAACCTCTACAAACTGGGAGCCAAAGTAACCTCTCTTCCTTCAATTTGTGGGTGTCAGGTACTGTCTGTCAGTGAGAAGAAAGTGACTAAGATAAAATGAGGCAGAACAAGAACACTGAGCACTTATGAAACTAATTTACCTCCTTAGTAAACAGGGCTTCTAATTCTTGTTCATCCAGGAATCCATCACTGTTGACATCTAAAGTTTAGAAGATACAGATGCAAAAGTGGATTTTAAACCCTTAGGAAACAGTCACAATGCAATTATTTACAAATGGTTTGCAAATTAGTACTAACATGAAGCAACATTATGCTGAAAGGGATTTCTCCTTTCTCACAACACTTCGGAGCAGCCCGAGTACAAACAATTCTGTATTTATAATCCATAACCATTCTTTAGAAAAACATATCTTATTCATTTTTCCAAAAAGATACTGTAAAGAAATATGCTATAGAGTAAAAGTGAAGTTTATTTATCTTTTGAGACAGGGTCTTGCTATGCAGTTCAGGCTGGCCTTGAGCTCACTTTGTAGCCCAGGCTGGCCTCGAACTCACAATGATCCTCCCGCCTCAGCCTCCCAAGTGCTGGGATTATAGGCATGCACCACCACGCCCGGCTCTAAATTTAATATTATAGTGTAAAGATTTTTATTGTTTTTTTTTTTTTTTTGGTTTTTCTCCGGTACCGGGAACCGAACTCACGACCTTGCACTTGCCAGGCAGGCGCTTTTGCCACTGAGCTAAATCCCCAGCCCCTATAGTGTAAAGATTTTTAGATACAACGTAACTAGCCACAGAATTACCTTCAGTTTATAGAAACTTCGCAACAAACCATATAATGACTCAATAATACATATACATAAAAAGACAGCTATTGATCTAAAATGTTTTATACTGCCTGTCAGCAATAAAGGCTATCATATTACCCTAGAGAAAAACTCTAGCCATTTACTATCAATAAGACTCAATAACCAACCTTGGTACAAATCACTTAAGAGTAAAGAAAATATAATTTTTCAAATAGCAGATATAATATTTCTACAAATATCAACATTTGTATCAAACCTGTTACCATGTAATTTGAAAAATGTCTTGGGGTCAAAGTCATTAGGGTCCAATCCATCAGTCTCTTCCCATACCTCTTTTAGTTGATCTTTGCTTCCCTGTGAACCAATTTTAAAAAATTGCTCAAAACAAAATATAATCTATCTGTATGGACTCAAAATAAGATATAAGTTTGGGGAACTTTGCAGAATTAAGAATTAAAATTTAAGTACAAATAACTTGTGATAAAATTCTACCTGGTACAAAAGCTTATCTTCATGTAAAAATCGTTTCATAAAGTTATAGTCCTTACTGGATGATTAACTTTGGGATGATTTTCATGCTTTTTCTTCATTTCTTCAAATTTAGATTCTTCTTCTTTTCTCTTTTGTTCATCAAGTGTTTTTAAATATTCTCTCCGTTCATGTTCCTTCATCATTTCATATTTTTTAAATTCTTCATGTCTAGTCTTATCATACTGTTCCAAATCATTTGTCGCCTAAAATTCAATAATGTATTTGGGTTTTGGTGCTTTTAAAAATATATATTTCATATCATTAGCAGGGGGGTTATGATACTGAGCTATACACTATCACTTTGTTTTTTTCCATTTTGAGAGAAGGTCTCAGTGAATTGCCTGGGCTTCAATTTGCAAAACTGCCTTAGCCTCCCAAGTCACTGGGATTATAGGTATGCACCGCTATTCCTGGATCAATGATGCATTTGAATTAAATAAAAAGAAATGTTTTGAACATATCAGGAAAGTCACTCTTAAATACAGTAGACTCTCAAACAGAAGGTTGTACAGGAAAGCAAAACCATACTGGACTAATCTTTGTTAATTTGTTAATTCCACCATATTACCCAGGATGCAAATATTCAAAGAAACTAAAAGTTCAAAGCCAGCTTCACTTTTAGAAATTTTTCATAAGAAATATATAAATTAATTTAAAGAAGAAGGAGCAGGAAAGAACTGTATCAAGTCTGTACAGTACAGAAAATTATAATTGTTTCTAACCATGTCACTAAATCTAGAAACAACCAGACTATAACATGTAGTTTGCTAACTCCTTTCAAACCAAATACAGAGGCCCATAAACTCTCACCTAAAATCCCTGAGGCCAGATGTGTTTTAGAATTTTCCAGATTTTAAAAAAGGATTATGGTACACACACCATATTATGAGACATGCTTACAATATGTGTAAAAAATATATTAGTAATTCTTTATTGAAATCCATTAACAGGTAGCCAGGCATGCCCGTAATCCTAGCAGTCAGGAGGCTGAGGCAGGAGGATCATTGTGTGTTCGAGACCAGCCTGGGCTACAAAGTGAGCTCAAGACCAGTCTGAACTATGCAGCAAGATCCTGTCTCAAAAAGACAAAAAA